ACCGTACGTTTGGGGAGGGGGGGGGGGGGGGGGGGGGGGTACTCATAGTCGGGCACCCCGTAGTCGTTTGACCATTGAGAGAGGGGGGGGGGGGTACTCATGGTCTCGCATGCCGTAGTCGTTAGACCATTGACCTTGCATCCCTACAAACCGGGACGGAGCACTACGGGTTTTCACCGGACCAGGCTCTCACATCGCCAAGCGAGAAGCACCGTGAGGTATTCGGCGAGTCGCATAGAGGGTGCGCTGCATCCTTGCTAAGGGTGTTCGGCATCTTGTGCTTACTTCCTTGCGTCGGATGGCAACTGCGTATGACTTATTGTATTTTCTGGTGCTTTCACTTCCAGAGACAGTTATAAGCACCGTGTAACGGCCTCGAGGGTGCTTGGGCAACTTTACACAACGTGGCGCGATCATCCCCATTGCGCGGAGTGAGGGTTTTCGACCCCGCACAACATAATCCACTCGACCACCATTCATTATGGTCACCCAAGAAAAGCCAAAGTAAAAAACAAATGCGGCAACCTGGTAGCCGAGCTCACAAAGTGATCGGCTTGTTTTACAACGTCGTTGTCAAACGACAAAAACCCAACCCCGATCGCAAACACCGGGGGAGAATGATTGGAAGGAGGGGGAGTAAACGGACGGTGGGTGGCGTGTTTTCGTTTAGTTGGACCGAAAGCAGTTTTGAACGCCCGTTCAGTATTGAACAACCCCCACAGGATTTTTTGCGCCGAACCATACCCACGGCAGCGTTCCTGGATTCAACACATACATGTATTTGGTATACACCGGATCGTAGTTCGTTCGAGGTTTTGTAGGGAGTGCATCCAACAAGCGACGGCGTTGGAGAAGCAGAGGGAAACCTTGACCCACAAAGAGTTGGAAGCCCCCCCCGAGATCGCAACGAGCACCATCTGGCCTCAAGATTTGGGCACAGCCAGATGAAAGCCCTCCTTCGGACAGCTTCACCAAGAACCTGTGCTTCCGATATGCGAATCTTAGACGACAAGTGTCCGGAACTCTGCTAGAAGGCCATGCACCACGCACCCTTGTGTGATGGGCTTAGGATGGCAGCGCATCCGTGAACCAACATCGGATGTCGCGCCTAATGCATTGTTCGCCGTCCAACTTGGTCTAACAGCAAAAAACGAAAAGAAAAAGCTCCCTGCAGATCCGAAGGCCCTCTCTCTGTAGACGGGCTTTCCCCGAGAACGAATTGGAAGAAGACTATGTAGCACGCCGACGTACCCCTGGTATGTCGAGACCTTGTGCCTTCTCCCCGACTCATTCTCCTCCAGCTCATGTGCAGCAGCGTCGAGCCTTGACCTTGTCACGAAATAATGGTTCACCTCCCTTGCACCTCCTGCCGCATTGCGCTTTTCATGGAAAACGAGGTGTATCCTTCGCAATACCGACGAGTACAACGAGGGATGCCCTTGCATTTGTTGGGAAACCTTGAAACTTAACCTGCTCGACGTGCTACTTGCAGCTCTTGAAAAACACATTTCGTAGCAGTGGTCAAAAATGAGTCTGCCATTTGTCTTCATAGACTGCAGTTTACCGTGAAGCATGCCATGAACCCCATGGAGGAGGCCGTTGTGGCCCCTCCCACCAGAAACATGCACGAACACGTCTCTAACGGCGTCGACATTGTCTCCAGGAACGAACGGTTGACCTCGAATCCCTCGTCGTTTCGCGATGCCTCCAATGATGAAGCAAGAAGTGTTCTCTTCTGAAATACTTCACGGTACGACCACACTACCAACGTACAAGGTATATCAAAGCAGATACAACACGAGCAACGGGATGACGAGCATGCGCGAGAGCGAGTGCCGACGAAACGCGCAAACACACGTACGTTAGTTGGTGGCGTCAACTGGAATAGGTATACTCAAACTATCGACTGATCACATAATTTTCTCTCGGTCGAGGACGGGAACGTGGAGGGTCCTGTACTTCGTAATAATTCCGTTATACGCAGGCATTCCTTCAGACGAAAGAACAGGACATACATATCTTTTTTTTTGTACTGTTGCACCGACGCCACTTTGATCTTCAAGTAGTAGACACACAACGCCTCGTCTGTCTGTCTGTCTGTCTGTGACACGTTCGACAATAACCCAGCAGACTGGAGCCCATTTCACCATCTAGACACCAAAATGCAATCTACTGCTGTAAGACTTGCACACAACATGTAGTATTTTGCCCGAGCTGTCCCAACTGCTACCGTTTCATCCCGTGGTCGGTGTCTCCAGATAGCACAGTATCTGTGCCGACATAACTGTCGGATTCACGCATCCCCGAGACCGAGGAGGAGGCGTGTCATTTATTTGTTGCTTCGAAACAGGTTCTTCTCGCTGCTGGTAACCGGCTGGTACGTAGCAAATGCTATCGCAGAGGGACGGACAAGGTGGAGGGAGACACATGCCGGCAGGGAGGAGGGATAAAGGAGGCAGTACCGCTGCTGCTCTTAGCTAACCGCGGAAGCGAGAGGACGAGAGAAACGCTTGGTTTGTTTCACGATCTATGCATGTGTAGAGAGAGAGAGGTGTATCCATGTGTTGCTGATTGGCTTGACTCGTACAGCAGTAGTAGTGTACACGTAAGTGGTGACACCATGACTGCTAGATCTTGGGAACGGTTATCAAATTGGGAGATTCAGCATTCCACGAAATGTCCTGCGATATCCTCGCTTCGGGTGGGCTTGCAGTAAAAATAGACTATTTTGCTGCCCTCCGCTCTATGCAGCAGTGACTTCCTTAGACTATGGGTTTGGGCGAGAGCGTATGTATGGTAGTTTCTGTGAAAGAAATGAGAAAGATTATTTAGAAAAATAAATACACCCACAGAAAGACTACCCGTTCGAGATATACCCACAGTCGAACGGGAGGTGGTGGAGTCTTCTCAGTGAGTGGAGGAAAACCGGCTGGGTACTGAACTTGTTTCGAGTCTTTTCAGTGATACCAGCTGGTGCTAAGTACAAAACCATCTGCACAGGTAACCTACATTTTGCAATATCTCCCCTGTAGTCTAGTTCTCTGCTGGGTCAACGACAAAAATGTCGGGGAGAATCCCTCCGTTATGTCGTGTGTCGTAAAATGTAACCTTCACAGGGAGCACAGCGCAGTGTCTTGTGACAACTTGCTAGTCTTCAGATACGAGTTTAGGAATATTATTGTAGAAGAATGAATACAGACAGAAAAAAAAATATGGAAGAGACTTACTGGTTTCCCGCCGTTTTGGAGTCTACAAAACGACATTTGATCCTTTGGGGTTTACGTATAATTGATGCAGAGGTAAGATTGGTATATATATACGGGGTGCATGGTAAGTAGGGCATAGCAGTCAGTTTGAATCTTGCTTAGCTTGTTTCGTGTTATGTTTGGAGTTGGCAAACAGCAGTACAGCACAAAATATTTCAAATGATATGGGGATTGTTGGTTGGGCGACTTCCCAGTTGTTCCTCAGAACGTTTTGCCGAGACATCTTGTTGGCACCATGTCGCAATCACGTTGTAGAGCATCCGTCATGAAGAGCAGCATCGGCAGCGAGGAGCAGTTGGCATCTCCGTGTGGAGAAGTGGTGTGGACATCTTACTGGAGTACAGCGAAGGATACAACACGTGCAGAATTACCCCACAGCGGTTAGCAGAGAAGACGATGTGTGTCAGCCGCGAGGTCAATGTGGGAGAGCAGCTTTGCACGAAACTCGATACAGCCTTCCCGCCTTGCCTCAAGTCCTATCGGAGGGTCTACAATATATATGTGGTACCACGGCAGCAGGGATCCGAATGCCGGCATTCATCATTCGTATTTCTTACCAAATTGGGCATTTTTCGAATTCGGGCCCCCTCCCCGTGACCTTGATTATACCCGCTGGCACTGATTTATTTTCATTGGTCAGCCGGGTAGCGGGTGGATGCCACAATAATAAAAACGACACACCCGCATTGCTATGAATAGTCTACTTGTCAATGGACTCGCCAGCATCCGGCGTGGAGGCCGGGCTACAGCGCGGCAACTCCAAGGGTCGCCAGAACACCAGCACTTGCAAATGATCAAATGATCTGTCAGAACCTGAAGCCTCAAAAGGTCTAATAGTTGTAGACTACTGCTGCTGTGTGTATTGCTGTATTTGCTTGGATTCGCCCACGAATGCCCGCAGCAGAAGAGAGCAAAAGAGAAGGAAGGGCAGATGAAGGAGACCAGCGTACTATGATACG